CAGCAATTTCATATTTATATTTAATATCACAAAAATTTGTTGAAGCAATCTTACTTGCTCTACGTGTGATTCTACCAAGAAGACTTTGGTCTTTAGTACTAAGATTACCACCCCAGACGATCAAACAGGAATAAATTATACTGGGTATCATTGAAGTATAAAACAATTCGAGAATTTTGGTGTCAATTTTAAATTTACTTAATTGACGCATCATATGTAAGCGTTTTTGCCCTTTCTTGTATAGCTTAAGTGTATTACTGTTCCATTTAAGTTGATCATCTATTGTGGTACCCAAGTATTTAAATTCCGATACAACAGCTATGACATCATCACCTATTTTGAGATTCTAGTGCATTTTATTTTTCCTAAAGTCGATAATCATTTCACAAGTTTTCTTTGTATTTAATGTAAGATAATGTTCCTTGCACCAATTGGTTAATCTAGAGACTTCATTATAATAAACATTAAGTGAACTATTGTCACTGATCAGGCCAACAAGCGCAGTGTCATCTGCGTACTTGACCGCCATGCAGGATTCAGACACAGGGCAACAATCATTGGTATAGAGGATGTACAGCAATGGCGAAATGACACACCCTTGAGGGGAGCCTGTGTTATTATAAAGAACAGATGATATATGTTGATTGATTTTAACTTGCTGAGGTCTATTGGAAAGAAAATGTTTAATCCAGAGAATTAAAAAAGGGTTAACAGAGAGTTTGTGTAGTTTAGATAAGAGAAGATGAGATTGAAGAGTGTTAAAAGCAGAAGAAAAATCAATAAAAAGTAGGCGGGAGTATGTGCCCTTAGAGTCAAGATGTTTATGGATTGAGTGAACAAGTGTTGCTGTAGCATCCTCCACACCACGATGCGCCCTATATGCGAACTGCATGGGGTCAAGTTTATTTTCAACAACAGGTTTAATCAAGCTAGCAATGAACTTTTCTAAACACTTCATAACTAATGATGTCAATGCTATTGGTCGAAAGTCGTTAAGCACTTTCACAGGAATCAGTTTAGGAACAGGTACAATTAGAGTATGTTTCCAGATGGAGGGAACAACTGAAAAATTTAGAGTGTATAAGAGACAGGTTCTAATGTCTTTTCCTTTACTATTTTTGTTGATGATTCAAATTTTTTTTGTACACAATGTACACAATTTGAT